ATCGATTTCTTACCCATTATCGATAATAAGCGATTTATGATATATATCGCTAAATAACAAATTAATCAATGTTTAGCATTTAAATTTAATCGATATAAAACGATTAAGTGTTATATATTGTTATAAATCTATTTGAAAAAATTCATGATGAGGGTTTGCACCTTGCCTGTCAATCCTTTTGAAAATATCTATCTCAAATTTGTCGATGATATTTCCAACATCAGAAAACGATTCTGTCAAAGATGTGGGAAGTTGGAGTTCTGTGGGCTGGAACGTTGGTTTTGAATAATTGTTGTGGAATCAAGAGCTGTCCTTTGAATGATAAAAACAAGGAGTTAATGCTATGTTTCAATATGAATTCGTGCATGCATCATCATGATCATGCTTTAATGAGACGGAAAAGACGGTGATGGCTATGATCATGAACGATTCGTTCTGGCGGCCCACCTTCTAGATTGATTATTTGGCAATTTACTGTTACTTTCTGGTTTAGCATTATTTCCAAATATAGAATTTCACATTTAGTAATTCACTTTTTCCAAATGTAAACTGTCCATATTTGGTAATTTTTTTACATTTTATTATTATTTTATTTATTCTATTTTTTTTTATTTTTTATATTATTTATATATAAACACAATATTTTTTATTATTTTATTCACAAAGATGTTATCCAAAAAAAGTAAAATTGATCATGTTTCAATTGTAAAAAAAACAAGATCTCAATCGATAAATTTTCTACCAAACGAAATATTGGCTTTGATTTTATCGTTTGTTTTTCCTGAAGGTGTGTCTTTGTTTGATCGTGTTTTCAGATTCAGACAATTGAAGACTGTTTGTAGATTGTGGAATGCTTTTTGTGAGATAATTCCCAAGGTTGAATATCATTTGATGAAAAAATTTGATTATTATGATCATAAACCACCTCAATTTATTCCCTATAACTTGATCATAACGGAACATGGTGTGTACATTTCCTTTTCATTTGAAGGAAAAGATGAGATAGCTGAGGTAAAATTTAATAATAGTATTTTCAAATATGGGAGTTATTTTGTATCTCTACCTAAATATATGAAATCTATATACGATGAACTTTTTTTTCTTGTGGACATATCTATAATTACCAAGAACTTTTTGAAGATGATTTGTAGTGATTGCAAGAAATTAACGTACGTGGCAAAGTATATGAAACTTATCAGGAGCAATTACGAGTGTCATGTGGATGAATGTGACAGTTATTCTACAGGCGAATTGTTTGGTGTTATGTATGTGAATCATGTGCATCTCTTATGTTGAGACTGTAATAAGAAATTTCGATTGATTGATTGAGGTTTTATTTTCTTTTCTTTATTTAACGTATTTTTGTTTTTTATTTCTTTTTGTTCTTCTTTATTTCTCTTCTTTATTTTTACTATGAATTTTTTAATATCAAAAATTTGACTGTAATATTCTACTGATAAATCTTTACTGTGATGTAATAAAATTCTACAAAAAACAAGAAGAATCATCGCGTATTATCGAGTGTTTGCAAAAGAATGGTTATCATATTGATCTGTTAACCAAGCTTTTATCGAGCTTGAGAGTTCGTTGTTCCTTCAAATCCCAGGTCAAATCTCCCCACAACTACTACATCTCTATCGAATATCTTCACGATATACATGTGTTTTCTATACTCGAAACCATGTCAGATTCATCAAAAAAAATGCTTTTTGTCATCGAGCATTTCCTTTATTGATTTGTTTTAGTTGTTCTTACTTGTATTTCATATGTATAGTAAACACCTAAACATAGTTTAATCTCACATTTTGCAAATATTTATAAATAAGCGCACTTTTAATTACACTATTTTTTAAAAAAATGCAATCTTCTCTTGAAAGACAATCTTCATTGGACAATTCTCTAATGGATACTGAAAAGTTATGGTGGTTCAAAGAAAATGAAAACACGAATTACCGAAGACCTTTGATGTTTCCGGATGAGAATGACCGCATCACTGAGTATCTGCAAGTTCGAATTAACAAGAATGTGAAGATTATCGTTGATAAGAAACACAAACCTCTCTTGAAGCAGCATCGATTTATTCTGAGGGAAGACAACATTATTGATAAAAATTCTGGCTCGTCATTATTAGAAATTTTATATCCAGATGTTAATTTAGAGAATGTTCAATTTAAAAATAAATGTAAAACTGACTATCGTGACTGTAATATCAAATTTTATTTAAATAAATAAATCCCATTAATTTGGTTTAAATCCCATAATTCACATATTATTTATAAAAGCTATATAAACTCACAAATTTCATCATTTTTTTTCAATAAAATATTTTTTCTCATTTTTAAACAAGGTGAGAGAGTCGTCACTGTGTCTTGCTGTTTATCATCCGATTTCACATTTCACTAACTCTCATTTAACTCTATACCGATATTTAATATAACCTATGCTCTCTTTCATCTCCCATGAAATGACTATAGGATGTCGCTTCAATTCTATTCAACTATAGAAGCTTATTACGCTGTTCGTAAAGGACGTGAGTCTGGGATTTACACCTCTTGGGAGAAATGTCAGGAGCAGGTGAACGGTTGCTCTGGTGCCTTGTTTAAGAAATTCTACACAAGGCAGCAAGCAGAGAACTATATAAAGATCGACAATTTTGATGATGATGTGCTAAACATTTGGACGGATAGTAGTTGTAATTATAATCTTAGGATTTTGAATGAAATAAAATCATATTCAAATATCTTAGCCTCTTATACTAGTATTGGTGTGTTTTTTGCTGACAATGATCTGAGAAATTTATCAGAACGACTTCTGGGTACTCAACAAACCAACAACCGTGCGGAGATTTATGCGGTCATACGTGCTCTAGAAGTATGTAATGTTGATGTAAATATTGTTATCAATATGGATAACATATGCGTGATAAATTCGTATCTCTCAGAATATCCAAAGATAAACGTGGATCTTGTCTTGAGAATGAACGATCTTATTAAAAATAGAGAAAGAAAAACATATTTCAAGCATGTTAAAGCGCATAGTGGTGTGTATGGAAATGAGCAAGCAGATAGGTTAGTATTCTTAGATTCACAGAAGGAATTTTGGGAATTAAATCTCGAACCGGTTAAGGGAAAGATATATTTTTATTTTAAAAAAGAGAAGAAGAACGATTCTGATAATGCGATGGACAGCTATCTTTTGGAATTTGTATGTATACTAAATCTTTTGGAACAAGATGTTAATAAGGAAAAATTAGTTATTCAGACGCAAAATAAGAATATTTATCTGATATTAGAAGAGAATCAAATCGAAAAGTGGTTAAAGAACGACTGGTGTAATACAAATAAATAAAAGTTAAAAGCACCAAAGAACATCTGTTTGAGGATCAATTAACTGGTAAAAGATAAAAAGAATTCATTAGAATTCGTGTACATTGCAAAGAAAAAAAGAGTTTAAACTATGTATTTTATTTTTTATTATTTATTTTGTTTATATTTTTATTTTTTATTTTTATTTTTATTTTTAATTTTTTGACAGTCTTGTCGGTGCTCAAATACAAATTATATTACTATTAGACTAAAAACACAGTTTCAATTTCTAATAATATCTAATTAAAAATTGCAAGCCCGGCATCACCCGGCTACATCATGTGCGCCCAGATGCGACTTGTCGCACCAACCCACATATGGGTTGGAAGACCTTGTCAGCTCTATCAAGAACTAAACCAAAATGGAGTTGAACCATTTTCAACCCATTCAACAACACCCTCCTCAAACAACTGAATAACTTCTGTTTCCTTCACCTTACATGTTGACTCAACTGCACCGCTTGTCTCACCTTTACTCTTACTTTTCCCGACTCTCGATGTTGGACTTTTATCGGTACCGGCACCCTCTTTGACAGAACTTTTCGGGTTACTTCTCTTCATTGCTGTATCTATACCGATTTCCTTTTCCCACTCAGCAACTGCGTTACATCTGATTCGCCAAATTTCATCGAGAAAACTACTTTCTACAAGTGCTGTGTAATTACCAAGTATCCGGTTTACAATCTTCTTCGGTAGCTCCAAATCTAACAATTCTGCCACCACATCGTCGGGTATAAGCCCTCTTATGTAGTCTCTTCTCTGCTTGAACCTCTTCTCAATTGAAGCGCCACCAATTAACAAACTGAACCTCTCAATAGCTATTGACTGTTTATGCACACGGTCTAGTTTCCTCCATGCAAGTCGGCATGCAACCTCCTCTACAATACCCCAGTAATTTGTATAACCAGTACACTCTACTAGATGGTCAAAATCTTCTTTTGCACACTTGCAACTTATGCATGTATCATTTAAGTATACTTCAGGTTTTCTTCTCCTCAGCACTGTAAGAACTGATAAACTGTCATTGATACACTTAATTTGGAAGGCTATCTTTCTGCTAGCTACATGTGACTTGCACCTAAATCCAGTTGCTTTTTTATTCTGACACCATAAAGCTTTCCAGCTATGTTTTGAGTCTGCTTCACTCTCATATGACCTGATAGCATTTGAGTTGCGCCACTCTGCACCAGCTTTGAAACTCATCAACGTCTTGATTAGTTTTCTTGTTGTAACTTCCACTGGTGTCTCGTTGAGGTAAACTGAAAATCTTTTGCGGCGATTCTTCTCCAAGGG